TCCACCGCAACTCTCTCTCGAGATCACAAAATGACACTAAAGTGCTCCACAGTCTCTGCTGGTTGGACCCTGGGATGCAGCCAAATTTTGTCCCTGTCAGCGCCAAAGCAGAAGATCTAAAAATAGCATATAATACATTCATTTTTCCATCTCAATCGCAAAATGAAACAAGGAGAGTTACAGAAATGAGCTGAAAAGTGCAACAGAGAAGAACCTAGCAGAAATCACAAGGCTGAATAATCACAATCACTATGTAATTCACCATACGATTGCTCCCCACTGCTTTGCCAGGCAATATTTTCTGCCAGACCAGCTACCCTACCTTTAATGTTGTCCTTGTAGAACTTGTTGCTCTCCTCCACAGTGCTGAAGCCAGCATACTGGCGGATGGTCCACGGCCTGTACGTATACATGGTTGGGTAGGGTCCTCTAGTGTAAGGTTTCACCCCAGGCAGTTCCTCAGGAAGGTCTTCTGTGTCCCTCTTGGAATACAAGGGCTTGATGTCGATGCCTTCTGGGGTGTGCCAAATTAAATCCTTTGGATTCTTGCCTTTCAGCTGCTTCTCAGCAAGGGCAGCCCACTCGGGGTGCAGAGGCTGCCTGTGCAGCGAACGCCATGCCAGGCGAGAGGCTGGAAGTTGTGCCAGGCACGTGCAGTGATGGGACCAGAGACGTGAGAGGGCATCCTTGGCTCTTAACATGTTTGCCCCAGCAGGTTGCCAATAAGGGATAAGCTGAAGGAGTTAAAAAATGCAGAATGTTGTGTTTTGCACTATTATACACATCCAAGATGGGAAAAGCAAGCGTCAGAGGTCAAACAGTTTGCTCAAGTCAAAATAATTGCTCAAGAGAAAACAGAAGTGAATTTATTCACTTACTTCAACACCCTCCCTGCAATCAGACAATGCAAAAAACAAAGTTAAGGGAACACTCTACATTTTGCTCTAGCAAGGGAAAAACATTCCTACAGTTCCTCCACCTCCACGTTTGAAATGTGTACGTAACTTATGTCAGTCCCTAACTGGCACCATCATTAATCAATCACCGAAAAGTCAGTGTCATGCAGTAAGACGACTGCTACTAACTGGTAGATGTTAGCAGCAGCAGGTTGATGGCTAACTACCCGCTTGCTGCCTGCTCTCTCCCTGATCTAAGAGGTCCTTGGCCCCAGAGAGGCGCCCTCAGCGTGGATGAGGGGCTCTGCAGGGAGCGCGCCATCAGGAACCTGCTGACACTACGCATTGTGGAGAAGGCAGCTTGGGCAGGACCAAGCCTGGAAGTATACTGAGAAAGACAGGAGCAAAAAATGCAGCGTGCAAGAACAGAGCGATAAGACGTGCTGCTGTGTTTGTGCCACCGAGCACCTGACAGAGACGGCGGAGAAGCTCAGCAACTCCGGAAAGCTGAAAGCTCTCCTGCTTCCGCCCACTGTCCCCTCATCCCTGTGCTTTCTTCCAGGGCCAAAACCTCCTCACGACAGCTCCGGCTCCAAGGGCCAGCCACCTCCTCTCAGCCCCACGCCGCCGTAGCTCCCTGGAAACGGGCGGCCCCGAGGCCTT